TGCTGTAAGTATGGTAAGTCAATTCATGCATGCACCTGGACCAACTCATTTTGAAGCTGTCTACAGAATCTTGAGATATTTGAAGGGAACTCCTGGAAAAGGTATTTTATTCGAAAAGAATAACCACTTCCAAGTAGAAGTTTATACTGATGCAGATTGGGCTGGAAGTACTACCGATAGAAGATCTACTTCTGGTTACTGTTCCTTTGTTGGAGGAAATCTAGTTACATGGAGGAGCAAAAAACAAAATGTAGTGGCCAAGAGTAGTGCTAAAGCAGAGTTTAGAGCATTGACTCATGGAATTTGTGAAGGTATATGTATCAGAAGGATGCTTGAAGAATTGAAGATTCCTCAGACGACACCTATACGGATTTATTGCGACAATAAGTCTGCCATATCTATAGCTCATAACCCTGTGCTACATGACCGAACCAAACATATCGAGGTTGACAAACATTTTATTAAAGAGAAGATTGATGCAGGTGCAATATGTATCCCTTATCTTCCGACAACAGAGCAAATTGCGATGTTTTAACTAAGGGACTTCGAAAGAAACAATTCGACGGTTTAATCAACAAGCTGGCTATGGACGACATCTTTAAACCAGCTTGAGGGAGAGTGTTGGATTTATCAGTATTTGTGTAAATATTAGTTGTAAATATTAGTTGTTAATATTTAGTCTTTATTGTTAATATTTAGCCTTTATGGTATTTATTGCTTTCCTTGTTTGTAGTAGGTCATTCTCCTATATAAGAAGACCCAAGTTACATGTTTGAATATAGAAGAATATTTTTATTCTCTCAAATTCAGAATAATAGTACTGGAAAGAACTTTTCTCAACAATAAAAGTTTTAGCAATTTCTTTGAAACAAGACAAACGTAAGTTTCATTCATCGATACGTTAATCACTCCCCTCCCCCATGAAATTCTCGAAATACTCAACAAATCCTCTTTATTCACCTCCCAATTGTCTTGATAAAACACCAACTATAAGTCATCAAGACGAGGGGACTTATTCCTATCAAAACCAAAGACGACCTTTTTAATCTCAAACAACATTTCTAAACCAACCTTATCACTTAAAGGCATGGGACTCCAATCAACCAAGACCCTACAAAAATGTTCTGCAGCAGGGCGTTGGAGAGAGAAGATTCGAGAAGAATGAAATCACCTCCCTCTCAACTCATTGATCCCCTCACAAGATCTCCCCTCTATATTCACAAGGGAATCAATGACATTCTTATTACTCCTGTCATTCGCAAAGTTATGGAAGAATTTTGGATGGAAGAATTTTGAGTTACGGCCTCCTTCTTGAATCCAATGCACCTTCGCTTTCACATCTTCTTTCCTAATGAACTCTTCAAAACTGCCCTTTCAACTTCACCATGTAGGATCCACCTTCATTTATGCAACAATATTAAAACTAGGGAAATTCAAGAGTCTCTCATTCTCCTAGAAAGGCTCAACAAAAGCCTAAACACAGATAAGATACTATAAAGATGAAAAAACAATTCTCCCCCCACAGGCCACAGCAGGGTATCCCCCTAACTAACTATATTCCTTTGGGCCCACCAAAATAACTGTGTGCCCTCCTAATCCTCACGTGCCCTTGCCCCCTTACTTTCTTACATACATATACCCAAGTAATCAGAAGACAACACTCCCTCCCGCCTCCAAGGTATCCAAGGATTTAATCTTCTCCATGATTTCCAACTTCAGCCAACATCTCCAAAAACTGAGGTATTTCATTCTTTTTTTGGAGTCACTTTTAGAGACTTTAGCTTCCTCATGAAACGAAAACCCTCCCACTTCCCTACCAGGAGAGTTCCACTACGAAGGGAAAGATGACTTAAAAGAAGGGTGAGAGAGCCACATGTTTCCAGACCTGAATGGATATGGCCCCCACTTAACAACTCCTGAATCCAAACACACCAGCAAATGATTTGACATAATTCTAGGGCCCAAAAATTGTCTAGCTTGCAAGAATATACCCAACCAACCTTTAGACAGCAAAAATATATCTATCTTGCAACATAAATTTCAACTAGACCAAGTGAACTTACCGTTTTCCAAAGGAGGATCAACCAGATTACACTCCTATAAAATTATTAAAAATCCTTATAGACCTTGTCAAGCTACCTCCACTCGACTTTCCATAAAGGAAGAAGAAGAAAGTTGCATTCTTTCTATATATATATATATATATATATATATATATAAATAAGAGACATAATTAACAAAATGAAAAGAAAAAACAGGACATAAAAAAAGACAAAAAGACAGCCCAACAGATGAAACCAAACTAAAACAAGAAGGGGCTCTAATCTAACAAAATAAGATCTAACAGATAATTACAAAAATCCTTAACCAATGTTGAGAGTTGGTGGAAAAATAATGTTATTAAAGGCTGGCATGGGCACTGTTTGATGATGAAGTTAAAAGCTCTGAAGGCAGCCTTAAGTAAGTGGAATAAAGACACCTTCGGAGGTATTCAAGCACAGAAAACCAGCCTTCAAATCAAACTCAAAGAGTTAAATGAAGCTCAAGGAACTTCCCTCCTCTCCCTCCTTTCACTTCTTTCCTTCAAAATCGACATCCCAGCTTCTTCTTTGAGAAATTCACCTTTTATTTTTAGGGACAACACCTTCTCTCATGAGTTACTAAAGCAGTTCTACTTTAGATCTTCAGATCCTTTTTCCTTATGACTTTCTGAGGGAAAGAGAAAGCTGGGCCATCCTTCCATTTGGTGTCCTACCACCAAGCTTCAAAAGAGTGAAGAAAACAAACCTAAACGACATGGTTCCCATGATCTCCAGTTTCTAACACAATCAAAAAATTACCCAACGTATTTTTTAGCATTCTTATCACTTTCAGATGCTTGAATTTACCCTCCTACTCCAGAAAAAAAGGAATCTACCGTTAAAGACCAAACTACATCCTCCCTAAAGCTAGACCAAGTGAACTTATCATTAGGAGGGATTTCACAGAAATTGATCTAACAAGATTTGATACTCTGAAATACCATGAGATTGTATATGGACCCATGAAGCAGATTTGTTAAATATCAAGGGAGGTCCTTTGTTAAGTAATCGTGTAACACTCTCTTATCATAAGGAAAAATGTAAGATAACAAAATCATTGTTTCTCTAATGTTAACAATACCTCAAGAAAATTATTGAATTCTGCTTGCTTTTTTGCTGCTTTAGATCCCCAGGCCTCTCGAAACATCCTTCCCAGAACAAAAACACCAACAGCAGTGTATCTGAAAGTGAAACTTTTAACTTAGGAAACAGGTCGGGAGTTTTAACTTTGTAACAAGTGGAAATTGTAACAAAAAACAAAACAAAACAAAAAATCATGGCAAATGGAAATTGTAACAAGTTTGTGGAGACATACATGTTCACACAATAATTATGTAAATTTCCTTATTCAAGAAAGAATAGCAAAAAGTATGATTACATCCACTTCAAATTAAATTCCTTACTGGCTCTATCAAAATGGATTTTGGCATATCAGTGTCCCGCACACCATCCAAAAAATAATTAAAAGAAAAAACATATTATTGGCATACATATTCCCGAAGCTGTTTTTGGCGTATGCTCCACCTTCATGGCCAGCGTACATAAACAAAGACCCTGAGTGTTTAAGTGAAACCTGCAGAAATTTCCAAGTTGAATAACCTAATAACAACTTAAAGAATTCAGAACACAATCAATATACTATTTACCATTAGAGACAGTATCCGAACACTATAAGCAAAGTAGTGACAAGGGGGGAAATTGGAAATAGTACTCGCTACAAATTATTAT